TGTAGTTTGAATATTTAAAGATTTTTGTTTCTTTTTGTTGTTGTTGTTGTTGTTGTTGTTGATAAATGTTCAGTTTTAGAGCTGCTGTTAGCAAATGTAATGCCTAGTAATTGGGATTACTAATCTCTTCTCTCCCACCTCAGAAGGATTACTGGATGAGCTCTTTCTTCAGCAGGGTGGCTTGGTGTGTGCAGGATGTAGTGTGCAACCATAGGGCTGTCCTGTTCACTGTCCACATTCAGTGTGTGTGTGAAACTACATGTTGAACACAAGTCACCCAGAAAAATGACCCCAGAAGTTTAGCTTTCAGCTCCTCCATACCCAGCTGACTAAAAACATTAGTAAGTTTGTCACCTAGGCTGTTGTTACCTGAATATAAATGAGCCTGTTATTGGCCAAAAAACTTGAGCCATTACATTCTCTACTGTGATGAGTGACTGGGTGGTTTTTTCAGGCTAAAAAAATGTAGTCTCATGTATTTCTACCTAGCTCTTTACACATCCAGTGGTCTGTGCAGTTGTGACTGTGGTAGAGAGAGGAAGGATCCTGGTTTGCTCTGAACTAGGTGGGCGTGGAGGAAGGACTTGTGGGATGGTATGGAGGATGCATGTGGAATCTGATGGCAAGGATGAAGCTCTGTCTTTGGATAGGGTATATCGACGCCTGGTGAAGAGAGAGGAGAAGGGCTCCCACTTTGGGCTCAGGAACTATCTCAAAGTAGCTTGACTTCTTGGGAGACCTCAAACAATGATCTCATGTATAATCTGATAGATTCGTGTGTGTGGGTGTGTGTGTGGCCCTGATTGAAAAGTGAGATCAATAATATTTAGCAAACTTTATATAAAAATTTGATGGCCCGCTGCTCATAAAAAAATAAATAGCTAACATTTTTTAAGAATGTAGTGTTTCCCAGGCCTTCTACTGAACATTTTACATGAATTATCTCCTTCAATCCTCATAAACCCATTTTATAGATAAGCAAAATTATGCAGAAAAGGTTAATCACATTTTATGTACTTAGGTCACATGGTATGTGTATGGGGTGGGTGAGCTTAGCATTTGTCAATAGATCAAAATAACAGTTTAAAGGTCATTTAGTCTCTGTGACACAGTTGGTAGGATACTGGATTGCAGCTCTGAAAGCCATATACCCATGGTGGTTTGAGTCCCCAGCCTGGTCGGCCTGAAAGCATGCCAGGTGCTTGTGAATGTGCATGTAGTTTTGTTACACATCCAAGACTAGAACTATAGGACTATTTTTGTATGTATAATGTAGATAACACTAATGTGTTACTAAACTAATGTAAATTTCAAATATTAGTCCAGTCAGGAAGTTTTAATAAATGAAAAGCCTATATATAATACATAAAATGTCCTCCTGGTAATGTGTCACTGTTACTGCTTGGGATATTTGTTATATGAACGTTAAAGTGCTGTGGCCCTGTTCTTAGAACAATAACACAGTGAAGCCTTCTCCTCCCTTGCATACGCTAAATCCCTTTCTAGGCTTGATGAGGTTTAGATAACAACTCAGTTGAACCGATCGGTTTCCGGAGTTTATTATTGCCCCGTGCACAAATTGGCACAGAACTGAATGGCGAGTTATGAAGTGAGGCTTGTTTTTCAGTGTGCCCTTAGACTCATGATCTTAGACCCTGTCAAAGACTAGCAAATAGCTGGGAATGTGCCCAAGGCAAGACCCATCTCCTATGGCACTCATCCAAAAATACACTGATAAAATTGTCCAGATGTACTTTCAACAGGCCCACTGAGGCTCACAATGATTTCCTTCCATTGTTTCAAACTTGGTACATATGGCTTCTGGAACCAGGAGAGAGGGTGAATATTCATTCTGGCCAGAAAAATGATCTCTGTTCCTCTCCCTTAAGCAATCAAATAGTTTGCCGACTATAGGGGTTTTGTTCTAATAGTGCACTGGAATTGTGTCTGTTTTACAAATGTAGCGATTAATAGAGGATGTACCTTTGTGAGTTTGATTCTCCCCCTCCAATCCTCCAATATTTTAATGTGAGTTCTGAGGCAGATGAGTACTGCATAGCACCTGAAGAACTCTATTGCTCTTTCTGATGTTGATACTTAGATCAAGTCTTAGATCTTCTTGGACCTTAAGAGGTCGTATAACCCAAGTGTCTTTATAGAAGAGAAACTGAACCTGGGATCACACAGTCAGTTGCAGAGTGACCTGAAAGGCAGGCATGCAGACCACTGAGCTTCTCCTTAAGAATTGAGCTGTTGAAGGATATAAGAGTATCACATTGATGGAGTACCTTTTCTTTTTAGACACACACAGTGGGGAGAGGCCGAGATAGTAGGGGATCCAAATGATAATTATTTGTGGCTTAACTGACTTTCATTATTGGCTCAGTGGTGGCTCTTATAATCCTAATAGCTGTTTCCAGGGATGAGTAATTCCATAGTCATTATAGGTAACTTCATTTTTCTCTTCTCTAGCTAGGCCCATCATTTCTGTCTGCTACCACTTTTCCCCAAGCCATCCTTTCCTTGGTGTTATCATCATTTGTTACATTTTTATTGTAGTCATCTCAAAATTCCACCTTCTGAAAGATGTTCAAGCTGATAGCGTAGCTTCCTCTCTAAGGATGATACTGCATGGACTTTTTCTTAAAGTTTGTGTGTGTGTGCATGTGTGTGTATATGTGTGTGTGTATGAATGAGAGAGAGAAAGAGAGACCTCTATGCGAGCCATTTCCAGCCTCAGCCAGCCAGGATCATGGGTACATATGTGCCTGGTGCATACAGGGACACCTTGTCACTTGAACCTGGGACCTTTCTATATGGCTTCAGCATTGTGAAGCATTGTGTTTGTTAACTCTTGTACCACCGCAACTGGCCTGTATTGGCATTTTTGATATTCAAAGGCAGGATATGGAGATTGCTAGCTACATGGGAATATAAAGTGTGAGAGGCTGTGATTTAAGTTTTAAGATCTTTGTAAATCCAAGTTACCATCTAGCTTTATTATTCTAGTGTGCAATGTGTGTGAGACCTAGTTCCTTGTTTGCATGCTACGGTTGGAAATGACTTGGCAACTACATAGAAGCTGATTCATTGAATCACCGTGTGTTAGTTTGGGACTCTACCCAACTGGTCATTTTACTAATGAAGCAACCCTGCATTTATCAGGGATATATGACCACCCTTACCTGTGTGTTCAAAAATAACATTTTCTGTCATTAAAAAACAACAACGACAACAACTATTGATCTAGGTAGAATGTAAGATTACTCTTTATAGAAAGAGTCATTCACTAATTCATTGATTTATTCATCAGATTTTAAATGGACACTGTCCTAGGTGCTAAGAACATGTCAGTGAACAGAATAGAGCAAAAAAAATCCCTGCTCATGTTGCCATTCCAATGTCTTTTCTGCAGATGCCACATTCCTATGAAAATATGGAAGTATCTTGTGAAGAATAGAACTGGCTTTTTGTACTTTGCCATTTTTTTCTTACTTTCTGTTTAATTTTTCCATAGAACAATTAGAGTTTTGTAACTCTCTAGTAGTAATTCTATAGTAGTAAGTTTCAGTAGAATTTTTGGTATGATTTAAGTAGCAGTTAGAAAAAGGAAGACAACTTCTGATTATTTCCTGCTTTGATAATTATTGGTAAGAAGAAGACAGGCATTTAGAAATAGATATTAGGACCAATAGGTTGCATGGTGACTAAGGTACTGGACACACACTCCCACATGTCCGACCATGATTCTAGTCCCTACCTGGTGGCTTGCATTTTCACTTTCCCTCTCTCTTTCTGTGTCTCTCTCTGGTCAAATTTACATAAATGAATGACTAAATAAAATTAAATAGGTAGTTCTTTAAAAAAAAGAAATAGGACCAGCAGTTGGCATAATGGCTGTGTAGCTGGACTCCCATGTAGTCCACCGCTGTTCAAGTCCCGGACCCAGTGGCTTAAACTCATGCCAGACGTGTGTGTGTGCGTTTCCAAGATCCTGAGAGGAGAAGGGACTGTGATGTGGCCATCCCCCCAGGGGATGATTTCTCGCGTTCTGTCTCTCTGTCTCTCTCTGCCTTTCTGGCGAGTGCACATCCCCTATAGCAAAAACCTCTCCAAAAAAAGAAAGAAATATTAAATAAGTGTTTGGCATTTTCCCTAAAAGAGATCTTGCTATGTTGTCTATGTTGATGAGTCAGGTAGTAGCTTCCTATTGACCTTTCTCTGTTCCTTCTGCTGAATGCAATTAAAAAAAAAAAAAAGTCTATTTATTTATTTTTTTTTTCATGAGAGAGAGAGAGAGAGACAGAGAAAGAGAGAAAGTCACCTCAATCAGGGTCTTATGTCATGATCCTCCCCCAACCTTTCCAGGCAGCCTGGACCACAGACGTGCGTGGATGTATAGTATGTACAGGGGGAACCAAAACCCAAACCCCAACCTTCCACATGGATCTGGCATCATAGAGTAATACACTACCACTGCATCACTGCTGCTGGCTTGTCCAAAGTGTTTTATGGAGGAAGCCTGTGTTTCTTCTGCTCTGTGGTTGGTTCTATCTTTCTGTAAATGCAAATATCTTTAGCCATTGTTCTAAGATGGCATTGGTGATTCAGGGGCACCTATTTTTCAAACATAATCCCTAAGTGTCACACCTAGTGATTCTGATTTTAATGAGTCTAGGATAGGAACCTGGAACTTGCTTTTTCAAAAAGGAAGTTATTTGAGAAATGAGCATCCTAGTGGAGATACTTTACTTTAAGAAAGACTGCCTAAAATATTGTTGAGCCATTGCACATTAAGACTGAGCCATAAAATATGACCTGGCTGTTGATTTTGTACACTGAAGAGTCAAAATTTTTATATTACACATGCTGGGAAGGAGCCAGCAGCCACCTGTAAAGGTCATCTAGACCCAAGGAGACTGTGTTACTTGTGTGTTCATCAGTGGGTGGGGAAGATTTTCTCAGTGTTGCTAACCAGCTTTCTTGGGATTTCTCTGCAGGCGATGGTGGCTTGCTATCCAGGAAATGGAACTGGTTACGTACGCCATGTGGACAACCCCAATGGTGATGGCCGCTGTATCACCTGCATCTACTACCTGAACAAAAATTGGGATGCCAAGGTACTTTGGAATAATGGGAATAGAATATGTAATTAGAAACCATAGGGGAGAACAGCTGTTAGTAGCATAATGGCTATGTCGCTGGACTCCCATGTAGTCGACCGCGGTTCGCGTCCCAAACCTGGTGGCTTAAATTCACACCAGGCGTGTGTGAGTGCATGCTTAAGATCCCAAGAGGAGAACGGAGGAGAAAGAATTGCGGTGTGTCCATGCCCCCTGGGGAATGATTTCTCACTTTTTGTCTCTCTGTCTCTGTCTTTCTGGAGAGTGCATGTGCCCTATAGTAAAAATCCTCTCAAAAAAAAAAAAAGAAACCATAGGGAAAAAAATCTGATGATTTAGAGGAGAGTTTTGAGTTCGTAATAGCCCTACCTCCCATTGATGAGTCTTTTCTACTGTTTCATATTTACACCCCCTCCCCACTACCTCATGAAATTAGTACTAAAGTTGATGAGATGAAAATAGTGGCTATGAGGTTAATTTACTGGCAGGTAGGTACAGTGATTAAGTGTGGGAGGGGTGGTTGATGAGGGGAAGATCCTTTAATATTAGGAGCAGGGATCTATTTTTCAGTCTGATTCAGAGCCAGTGAGACTCTCAATGCAGAATAGGACATATGCTTTTCCAGCAGCAACATTAATTTCACAAAAAGAGAACTGTGAGGGACAAGCAGTTAGTGTAATGGCTATGTCGCTGGACTCCCATGTAGTTGACTGCGGTTCGCGTCCCGGACCTGGTGGCTTAAAATTCATACCAGGCAGGACCTGGTGTGTGCCCAAGATCCCGAAAGGAGAATGGAGGAGAAGGGATCGCAGCGTGGCCATCCCCCCTGGGGGGGGGGGGAGTGATTTCTTGCTTTCTGTCTCTCTGTTCCTCTCTGCCTGTCTGGTGAGCGCACGCTCCCCATAGCAAAAAACCTCTCCAAAAAAAAAAAAAGAGAACTGTGAGATGTGAAACCATACATACCTAGGAGAGATTTCCCATGTAGTCCTCTCTCTCGGGTGACATGTCTCTTTGGTGGCTGCTTGCCCTGGCTTACTATGGTTCATGAATGCCAAAAGCTTTGTGGTTTATTTTTATACCATAGGGCATATAGAGATATGAAGTCTGGCTCCATGTTTACAAACATATTTTTGGACTTTGTATGCTTTCTGAAAGCTAAGAATGATTTAGGAGTCTGGGAAGTCAGAGAATGTTTTGAGCTTATTTGGCTTTTGAACCTTCTTCATCTTTATTTCCTGTTCATTAGGGCAGTTACTGGCTGTCATAAAGCAATGATATTTTATCTAGGGTCAGAAAAACAAAACCTGGGAAACCAGTGAATTGGTGCAAAGGCTTGCCTCTTCTCTCTGTGTGACATGACTGGAATACATCCCTTAGGTCTCCTTTAAATAATCTTAGAGGTGCTGTGATAGGCAAGAGAGTAAAGTGATCAGATCGATAACAATAAATTGAAAGGTGTGAAATCATCCAATAAATATTTGTGTTCCTTCTGGTCTTAGGCATTGCTCTGTGGGGAAATGGGAATGTGTGAGACCTAAATTCTACCCTGATTCTGGTTATTCTAGTAAGACAGATTGGGCATCTACATAAGAGAAAAAAAGTAATTCAAGCAAAAGAGGGCAAAGAAGGGTAGATAAGTTGGTCCAAGGGTATAGAAAAAATAGTAACTTCCAACTCATGAGGTCAGATAAGAGCTAAGAGAGTTCAGAAGAAAGCTGTAAATTCTAATTGAAGGGGAAATTATGTCTGAAGATTATCTTTAAAAGCTGTTAATATTAGATGGAACTATATGAAATTTCTGGAGAAATTTGTAGGAGAAAACCAGTCAAATATTGGCAATTCTTTATGATTTGAACTAATAGTAGTCTATTTTGTGTCCATGAGCTCTATTGTGTAGAGTGGGAAGGTCTGTTTGGTGAGTGATGAATAAGACCTCTCTAGCCAAGTCTGAAATAAAATTTGATACAAAGTATGAGGCTGAAGTGAAAACTTGGGGAAATGAATGCTTAGAGCAGAAGTTGGAAGATGGCATTATTTCTTGATGGGGCTGAAGTATTGTTGGTAAACGATGTGAAAGGCCAGTAAATAATCCACCTTCTTTGTGACTCTCAGCTACATGGCGGGATCCTGCGGATATTTCCAGAAGGGAAATCATTCATAGCTGACGTGGAGCCCATTTTTGACAGACTCTTGTTCTTCTGGTCAGATCGCAGGAACCCACATGAAGTCCAGCCTTCCTATGCAACCAGGTAACAGCCAGCACAATGATTCCTCTTCAGGAGCTCATTATAAAAATCCCAGTTCCCAGAGAGCTCTCTACTCTTGTGTCTTGTCCAAGTGGGAGCTGACCACATCCTAAAGCAGACAGCAAAGTTTGGAGTCCTTAAAAAATTAAAGGGGGCCCATCAGGTAGCACAGATGTTAAAATGGCCAGATCCCATAAAGGGGGCTGTGCAATTTGAGTGCAGGACCCAACAGCTTGAAAAACATCCTGGGCATGTGTGTACGTGCATGCCTAAAACTCCCAAAGGAGAGGGGACAGCGGGCAACATGGTGGTTAAGGCAACTGGATCCCACATGACCAACTATTTAGTTCGAGTCTCAGACCTGGAGGCTTGAAAATCATGCCGTGTGTGTGTTTGTGCATCCCTAAAATCCCAAGAGAAGAATGAAGAAAGAGTTGTGGTGTATATACCCTATAGAAAAAGCTTTAAAAAAAAATCCCAAGAGGAGAATGGAGAAGGGGTTATGGTATAGCCACCCCCAGGGAGTGATTTCTCACTTTGTCTGTCGTCTGTCTGTTTCTCTTTCTCTGTGTCTCTGGCAAGTATACCCACCCTATAGCAAAACTTAAAGAAAATTAAAGGGAAACCTTTGAATTCTTTAGTATACGAAACCTAACTTCCATTTGGAGTAACTATTAACAAATTGTTTTCCATTAGATAAGTGTACTTGATTTGAAATGTCCTAGTTTTATTATTATATTTTTAATCTAAAAGTCTTTTTTTTAAATGTCAGAGGTTACTCACCAGAGAGAGACAGACTGACAAGGGTTTGGCGCAGGGAGAAAGCACCCTCCAAATGGGTCAGGTCACATCACACTCTCCATCCTGTTTGGATATGCATACACATGTGCCCAGTGTGTTTCTTAAGCCACCAGCGGTAGAACTGGAACTATGGTCAACCGTGTGGGATCCAGCTCCTTTAACAACTAGGCAGTGGGATAGCCTCACTGTCTTTTTAGAAGATTTCTAAAAATCTTCTGAAAGATTGTAAAACTCTAATGTTGAACTCCCCCTGGAGGATGTTAGCTATATCAGAAATTTTGATTGCTTTGGATAAGTTTACAAGTTGCCAGTTGCAAGAAAGAATCTTAAGTAAAGAAAGTAATTTGTTATGACTTCTTTCCTTTTTTAACCCTTCTCTTTGCTCAAAATTGACTTGGCTCCCTCTATCCATGTCTTAACAATTAGATTTTTAAAATAAATCTTTTCTTTAGCATGTGAAGATATTCAGGTAACTGAACGACTTAGTATTGTTTAGTATCAATCTAGAAATTCTTATTTTATTTTTATTTTTTTGGAGAGGTTTTCGCTATAGGGCGCCTGTACTTGCCAGACAGACAGAGAGAGACAGAGAGACAGAAAGTGAGAAATCACCCCCCAGAGGGGATGGCCACGCTGCAATCCCTTCTCCTCCGCATGCACACGCACCTGGCAGCTGTTTACGCCACCGGGACTGGGACTTGAACCGAGGTCGACTACGTGGGAGTCCAGTGACATAGCCATTACGCTAACTGCTGGTCCCTCAATCTAGAAATTCTTGTGCTTGCTTTAGCAGCATATATTCTGAAAAGTTGAATGATACAGAAATTCTTGATAAAAATTAGTGATACTTTTTTTTTAAACTTGATTTGCTTTATTTAGCCTCCAATTTCTGGGAGGCAATGATAAAAATCTTAAAGAAATTCAAGAATTTACTATCTCTCTGATAATTTTCTGCCTGTCATTACCTTGTCTTATGACCCATGGTGTAAACCAGGCAGCATCGAATGCAGTGGAATACAGTTTGTCTTGGTAATAGCAATTGGGGGCAGGTAAAGAGATCTGGTAAGATAATTTCTCACTTTTGGGACCAGCAGTTGGTGTAATGGCTATGTTGCTGGACTCCTGTGTAGTCGACCGCAGTTTGAATCCCAGACCCAGGGCTTAAACTCACACCGGGCATGTGTGTGTACGTGCCCAAGATCCTGAGAGGAGAATGGAGGAGAAGGGATTGTGGTGTGGCCATCCACCCCCGGGGGGGGGGTGATTTCTTGCTTTCTGTCTCTGTCTTTCTGGCGAGTACATGCGCCCTATAGCAAAAACCTCTCAAAAAAAAAAACAAAACTGATAATTTCTCACTTTCCTTCTCTCTGTCTCCCTTAGGCGCACACACGTGCCCTATGGTAAAAACCTATAGAACAACAGAAGATAATGACTAAATCTTTACAAGCCTAGTTACTGGGTCTTTGGGAAAGTCATGATGCCTTTTTCTAGGAAAAAAATACGTGACTGGTGCCACAGAGGGCATCACTGAAAAAGGCATCAAGACTTTTCCAACAACCCAATAAACTAAAATAGCAGGTTTCCCAGTTAGGATCTGAGCCACAAACAGAGTTAAATATTAAATGACAAATTAGAGTGTTCTCTAGATGAGCAGGTAGAGAACTAATTCTACCATCGGTCTGCTAAGGTAGTACAATAATTGTGCCCTCTCATTTATGACAGAATTTTCTTTTCCTGTAATTGCCAAGAAGATATGTATACTCACCTAAAAGGGAGGGTAGAAGCACCCCTCCCCCCCAATGGGACATGGTCAACTGCAATCCCCTCTTCTCCATTTCTCTGTCCTGTCAGGATTTGGGGCTTGCACATACACACATGCCCATTGTGTTTTTTCAGGCTGTTGGCGCTGGGATTTAAACCACTGTCAGCCACATGGGACCTGGCTCCCTTAACTAAGAGGCTACGGGATTAGCCCTCTGGTGGAATGTTCTGGTTATTCTCCAGGCCCATCATGACTGACTCCACAAGGAACTCATTAGCAAATTTTGACAGGAAGCTCTTAAAAATAATTAAGTGATAGAGAAACTGCAGTAGCTGATATTATGAAATGAAACTTTAAAAAAAAATCTAAGCATGAAACAATCCCTGTTACAGTCTATCCTATGGATGAGATGAAGCGAATGAGTGGGAGTGCAGTAGCGAGCCTGAGGGCACCATGATACCGTGATTTAGTTGAATCTTTGCCTTAATGTCAAAAAAGAGAGAGAGAGAGAGAGAGAGAGAGAGAGCCAAGAGTCTTTAATGTCCTATGACTTAAATGTTATTCTTCAAAGCTTCCTCAAATGTCATCACCTCCTCTTCTTTGTTCTTTCCCCACCAGTTGAGGTCTCCTCCTGTTTAGCAGAATGACTCCCTTCTAGTCCTTTCTGCGTAGACCACCTTCACTCATTCTACTATTTGTTAAACCACCTGTCTCCTCTGTTAGAGCTGGAAATGCTCGAGGAAGAGGAAGATCTGTTCAAGGATCATGTAATTCCCCAGTGCCGAGGATAATCCTTGGCACATAAATAGGATGGGTTTTATTACTCTTAAATAGAATCAAAACCAGAGAAATTAATCTTAACTTAAAATTAGGATAGGCTTCTACAAATTACTTCATTGTGAGATTTTTAGTACCTTTTTTGTTTTTTGTTTTTTGTTTTAAATCTCTTTTCTTATACCTGATTATCTTTCACAGATACGCTATGACTGTTTGGTACTTTGACGCTGAAGAAAGGGCAGAAGCCAAAAAGAAATTCAGAAATTTAACAAGTATGTGTTTGATAATTTTCTGTGACTTATGATCAAGTCAGTTTGTGACTTTTATTTGAGAATTTTATGTATTTGGTAATACATTCTGTTCAGCCTCAATTATTGCTTAGCTCACATATAATGAATGATATATTGCTGGGTTTAATCCAGAAACCTTGACCTTAGTGCTCTCTAAAAAATCAGAAGGAAAAAAAAAAAAAGGCAAAGGGCACTCCCTGAGAATACCCACTGCTTATGTGATGGTTTATGGTAAATGGTAAATAATTAACTTTTTATTATTCGTGCTAACCAGTCACACATAATATTAAATCATGTGCCATGATTTTGGCACATTGCAAAGGAAATAAGATGGAATCCATCAATAATGGCTAATTTGTTATATGACAGTAGGGTTCATGTTATATAAACTGGATATGACATAACACTGTTCCTGCCTCCTCCAACTGATTTGGTAAGGCTGTATTTCCCAATCTATATTGCATTAAAACTCTAGTCCTGCCAAGTTGGCTTAGAAAACGGTTAAATCTCAGTCCCCAAAATGTGGGAAATGTCACATACTATATCCCTCTCTTGAAGAGTCTCAGTGCACCATGGAGTTTTCAATGAATAAATCCTGTATTAAACAAACATATGTAACATTGCCTTGGATTATACACTTACCATCTACCCAAAAATAAATAAATAAATAAATAAAAATAAAAATGCCTTTTTGCAAAGCTCATTCAGGAGGCTTGACTTTGTTTTCCAAGATGAGAAATTTTTCCTGGAGGCTTTTTTGTGACATTTGTGACATAAACTTCTTAGATCTAACTCTTTATTCCTCTTTATTCTCTTTTCTGTCCCCAACCTAGAAAAAACTGAATCTGCCCTCACTGAAGACTGACTGTGCTCTGAGATCCGCTGGCCTCATTCATTTTAGTGATAGTTTCTGAGTTGTCAAGACTTGAGATCCAAAGATGGCCTCTTCAGTGAAGACCAACTTCTCTCTACTGCTTGCATCATTCACATCCCTGTCTTGCATGTGGTACTTTGTGTTTTCTTGCCAAGACTGCATTGACCTTCCGACACTCTGCCAGATAAACTCTTTTGCTAACTCCAGAATTATTTGCAGACATCCTAGCTGGCCAGCGGCTTAACTGAGATTTGGTAACACTGGCTGTAAGAACAAGAGCCCAGAAGCACAGGTGGAAGGAATCGTACTTGCACTTTATGTACACTCCTTGATTTGAAAGGAGAAGGTTTGCAAAGGAAAAAAATACGTGACAGGTGCCACAGAGGGCATCACTGAAGCCTTAACAACAGGAAACAGAAATTTGTGTCATTTGAACAATTTCTAGATGTTCTTAATCTACACCTGTTAGGGTTTCTGAAGAATTATTATAATCTAGTGACATTTTACCTCTAGAAAGGGCTGCTGTTATAGTCACCAGTTTGTAAGTGTTCCATAGGGTGGACACTCTTTTTTCCTGGTCCTATAACCTGGACTTTCTGCCTTGGGCCCATTTTACTGAAAATAATGACTTTCTGATTGAAGATGACAACATCATTTGTTTTCTATTTTTTACTTCTTACCTGGAGAACCTAATTCCCCAGAGGCTAAAACTAGACATTAGTTGTTTGAGTTGCTTTGTTGGAATGGAATTTGAATTTAATTTAAATTAAAGGGGAAAAAAAATCTTCCTGGTAGTTTAGTGTCAACTTCTGATAACAATGGGAAAGAGGTAGGTCTGTTGACATAAAATAAACACGTGCACATCTTGGACAGTTTGAGGGGAGATGAAGCTGGAAATGTGGGTGTTCTTGTTTTTTTCTTTTTCAGTTTTCTTTTTTAATGGGCTTACCTTTCTTCTTTAACAAAATATAGAGTGGAGTGTTGTATTTTAAAAAGGAAATGGGATCGCTTCTTGGCCTTTTGGTTAAGATCAAGTGTAAAAAGGAAATGGAATTAAAAAAAAAAACTCACAAAAAAATCCATGTTATTTGTCCTTACTAGCCTTTCTTGATCTGACTTGACCTTGAGGTCCACTGTGGTTGGCAGTATGGCCAGAGTCATGGATTTACTAGACTTGTGAAAGGATCTACTACTGCAATAGTCAGAGACTCCACTGCCTCAAGAACTCTGTATTGAATATCTATTTTATTAAAGTCACCCTTCCTAGTTTTCAGTTCTACTTTGATGTACTTTAAATTCCTTTAATTTCTTTCTTGAAAATCTGTTAAACATTAAAGAGCTAGAAATATTTTCTTTTGTCATATATGGATACGTAGTCTTGCCAAAACAAAGTTAATTTTTTTCTTTGCTGGTTTTAGAACATTTCTTGATAAGACTTGTCATCATTTAGACTCACAACTCTTCTCTTTTGTTTATCTTAGTATTTACCACCTTCTAACATATTATTTAATTTAATTATTTATTATGTTTATTGTCTTGTATCCTGCCTCTAGAGTGTAAGCACAATGGAGATAGGGATTTTGTACATTTTTAATCAATGCAATATATTTTTAGCACCTAAAATATAGTGCCTGGCACATAGTAAGGGCTCAGTAAATACTTGTTGAATAAACTCGGTCTCCTACATTAATATTCTAATAGTTTGATTAATTTCCTCCATTTTTGTCTAGAAAGGCTACTTAGGATTTTTACACACATCTTTTTATAATGGATAGCTTACACCCGTAGGCTAGGAGTTTTAGAAAACATTAGTCATGATGCCATTTCATATTTGTTTACCTATGACTAGGTCATTCTTTGACCACCATAAATCTGAAAGTTGGACACATTTTTTTTTCCCTTCTGTATCCTGGAACTGTAGTAACAGAACAGTAGCTTCAGGTAGGACAGAGAATTGTAAAACACTTCAATAAAAGAGAAAGAAGGAAGATTGTTTATTAGGAATTTTATATTCTGTGAAATTATAATAATGTTTTTTTCATGATTACTAATGTCATGAGAATGATATTGATAATATTTTCAAGGGATGTTAGGTAGTTCCAATGTCTTTTATTTTAGTCACTATTTTGACTTGCCAAAAGGTCTGACTTAGGCTTCACTTATTTCTTACAGACAAAGGTCCTATAAACTATATAACAAATCAATTTTTTTATGCTCACTGATTTTTCATGGCTGAGTACTGGAAGATTAAGCAGGAAAATACAACTTTAATTCTCAGTGTCTGCTTTTTGTTCTTCTCTTTGACAGTCCACTTAGAGGAGGACTAATCCCTGCTGAGGAAACATTATTTGCCAAATAATCTGATCAATTTCATTTATATTCCTGGCAATGAAATGTTAAGAGTCCACCTAACCATTACGTCACCTACATAGTGCAGGGTCCTTGGTGGGAGATTAAATTTTGAACCAAAGATCCAATTTCATAGAAATAAAAAGTCTTACCTAAGTGCATTAAATAGATTTTTAGTAGAGTCGTTAATACCAATTAAATGCTGACCTGTCTGAATCATGAATTATCCATTCAGACATGACTTAGTTTTCCTTCTTCAAATTACTTAGTTCTTTTTAGAGGCTGGGTCATTCTAATTTCTTTTGGCCATTTGGTCTTGACATTTCCTGTGTTGTTTTAGAAAGCAATGATGGGAAATACCAGGCTAAGTCAGCAATTTGTGTAAGACAGGAGTTCAGACATGTCAGGTACTTATATATTTGATCAGTTATGAGGATAAGTACACATAGTCTTAGTTAAGTTATTTTATTAGTAGTTTTAAAAATTTGGAGGGGAGAGTTGGGAAGAGAATCTGCTTATGGCTGTATCTCTTCTGGGTGCCTGGCTTTCCAGGACCCATGATGGCAAGGCCACTGTGAGAGACAAGGAAGACCACCCAGCTGAGATGAGATCTCTACTCACTTAGCCTCCTGGGTGCCTTCCACTTGAAGATGTGACTCTTGGAAATAGCACTATGTACGTATCCCTTTCTCTTTTTCCCTGACAATGATTTAATTTAGTTCGTTCGTTCTTTCTTTCTTTCTTTCTTTCTTTCTTTCTTTCTTTCTTTCTCTTTTTTTTTTTTTTTTAAAATTTTTTTTGAGAGGTTTTTGTTATAGGGAGCATGCGCTTGCCAGAAAGACAGAGACAGAGAGACAGAAAGCAAGAAATCAGCCCCCAGGGAGGATGGCCATGCCACAATCCCTTCTCCTCCATTCTCCTCTTGGGATCTTGAGCACTCATGCACATGTGCCCGGCATGAATTTAAGCCACTGAGTCCAGGACTCAAACTGTGGTCAACTACATGGGAGTCCAGCAACACAGCCATTACAGCAACTGCTGGTCCCGAAACTAGTTATTTTCCAAGTATGGCAACGTTGTAAGTCAGTCTCATAAGGTTACTATAATGAAGGTTCTTCTTACTGAGAAGAGTAAATAGGTTGTGTTTATATAATTTTTGGTTAAATAACACACAAAATTGCACCAAGGCAATAAACAGTTGTTTAGTAGAGTAATAAAAGCAAGCACTACTTATTGACGATGGAAAAGGAGCCATGTTCATTTAAAGGCGGAACTAATTTGATAAATTTAAGTGTTATGAATGTGGTGAAAGTGGACACTTAAGTTATGCCTATCCTAAAAATATGCTTTGAGAATGTGAACCTCCAAAGGAGAAAGAAGAAAAGAAAATTCCTGAGTCAGAAGCAGAAATTGAGGAAATACAAGAAAGTGAAGATGAAAAAGAAGATTCTGCCCTTGACAGCCTCAGTCAGGCCATAACATCCCAGTCAGCCAAAATGGAAGAAGAACAAAAAAAAAGAAAGGAAACCCAGTTCAGGAGGCCTCCCAACATAATTCAGGACACTCCAAGATAAAGAAAGGTACATAATTCAGTTATAAAGAACTTAGGGTTAAGATTATTTTATTTCTTGGGGACCAGCCGGTGGCGTGGTAGTTAAGGTGCTGGACACTCCCACATGGCTGACCAGGGTTCAAGTCCTGAATCTGGTGGCTTGCTTTCTCACTTCCTCTCTCTCACTCTCACCCTCTGTCTCTCTCTGCTCAAATTTAAAAATAAATGAATAAATAAAATTAAATAAATAATTATTCAAAAAGATTATTTTATTTCTAAATATCATTAAAATAGAAGGTCCAGAAGTGGGATCAGCAGTTAGCATAATGGCTATGTCACTAGACTCCCATGTAGTCAACTGTGGTTCGCGTCCCAGACATGGTGGCTTAAAACTCACGCTGGGCACATGTGCATGCATGCCAAGATCCCGAGAGGAGAACAGAGGAGAAGAGATTGCAGCGTGGCCATCCCCCCTGGGGGGTGATTTCTCGCTTTCTGTCTCTCTATCTCTCTGTCTGTCTGGTGAGCGCACGTGCCGTATAGCAAAAATCTCTCCAAAAAAAAAAAAAGTCCAGAAGTACAAAGTTCAGTTGGGGACTAAAGATTACTTTTAGAATTTGAGCATAACTATTTGGTGTAAAATAGATTTTTTACTATAAACAAAATCATAGGAAATGTAAAAATGATTTTATAGCATCATATTTCTATCTTCCTTAGCACAGATCAAGAATCAAGATTTGCTAGTAATCATTTTGAAGAAAGCTAGAAAACTTGATACTACCATAGTAATGTTGTTATCCCAAGGAAGAAGATACGAGAAGTTCATTATAAAAGCTTTATTTATGTCAGATTGGTTAACATGAGGACTTTTGAAATACATTCAATCTTTAAAACATTCCATCTTTCCCTCCCTTTTTAGATTTTGGGCACAGATGTACACATACCAGGCTTGTTTCCAAAGTCTCAGGGTGTGGGACTTGAAATGTGTAGTCAGCCATGTAGGATTGATCCTGAACCAGCTTGTGGCCTTAAACACCAGGCCACAAACTGGCCTGTTAATAAAGTTATTTTAAATTAAAGTAATAAAATTGAGGCACCTTCAGTTTTGAATTTTTCAAATGGTATGAAGAGAATACTTTTTTTTGAGGTGGCTAGAACTATTGATTGAACAGAGAAGAAGTACTCAATATTCTTTTCATAATAAATACAACTACAGTTGCACTCTGTTGGATAATATATGCTGGTTTATAATAATGACCTGTCTACTTTCAGTCCCAATTTATCCCTATCCAAATGTGACTTTTTTCAAAAAATATTTTTGTTATAGGGCATGTGCATTCTCCAGAGACAGAGAAAGAGAGAGGGAAAGTGAGAAATCATCACATCCTTTCTCCATGCTCTCTTGAGATTCTGGGCACACATGCTGGCGTGCTTTTCAAATCTTAGGTCTAGGACTTGAACCACTGAGTCAGCCATATGGGACCCAGTTCCTTAACCACACCACCTGCTGGCCCAAAACAGATGTGACTTTTTTTTTTCTTTTCTTTTTTTGGAGAGGTTTTTGCTATAGGGTGTGTGCGCTTGCCAGAAAGACAGAGAGAGACAGAGAGACAGAAAGCGAGAAATCACCCCCTAGGGAGGATGGCCACACCACAGTCCCTTCTCCTCCATTCTCCTCTAGGGATCTTGGGCACGCACGCACATGCGCCCGGCGTGAGTGAAAGCCCCCAGGTCTGGAACTCGAACCATGGTCGACGACATGGGAGTCCAATGACATAGCCATTACGCTAACTGCTGGTCCCCCAAATGTGATTTTTAAAAATCTGTTACTTTCTTGTTGTTGGATACTTTGAGGTTGGTTTACGTATGGTTTATTGCCTTTATATTTGCAAGACCAGCTTTAGCTGTTAAAGAATTGTCATGTGAAGAGACTGAAAATAATGGGTACTAAATGACTAAATACTCAGAGAATACCTATATGCTGGGCCTTGTGCAACATGCCCTGCCCTCCATGTTTATTCTTCACAAATATGAGGAGGCAGCTCTTCCTGCCTCACACTGAGGAAGCGTACTGAGAGCTGTCAGGTGGCTTGGCCAAGATTACACAGTGGTGGAGAAGCACACCAAGATTTGACTCATTTGCAGCTGCTCAGTGTGTATTTGTTGTCTTTGCTATC